CGATTTGCTGAAAGCATAATAAATAAAACAAGGATGGTCTACTTAAATAATGATCACAATCATTATTTCGATCAAATATAATAATTAAGCATTATCTCAAAACACATTGAGGGAGTTCCTTGAGGACGCCCTTGTTTTATTATTTATAATAATAAAAAGAATATATATATTATCATTATTGATCAAATGACAATCTGAATTGCGTATACTTTCTGTTACAAATATTCATATAAAATTTATTAGTGAAAAAAATTTTTTAAGCACTATACTAAAAATTGAAACTATTTATATTTCATATATTTGAATAATATCATTTTAAAATGTTCCTACTTTATATATACAGACCCAATAAGCAATAGTTAAATTTTATACTTCCTCAGGTTGGAATATACTAAAATGCTCACTGTTTCTTTTTAAAAACAAAACCTGATTAACCAAGTCTGGAGATAGTCGAGTATGCTTTGCAAAGATGTAATTACCTGCATCTGAGAACAATCTCTCGCTGGGTACAGACGTGGCAGGAATTGATAGATATTTTAATGCAAGTCTTAACAAAACTGGAAACTCATTTTTGTTTGCATTCTACTACTTTAAAGGATCCTGATTAACATCTATCTGCCGATACCTTATATAATGTGTAATTTTATCCTCCTCAGCTAAAAATGAACTGCCTAATTCTTTACATTCTAATGCTTAAAAAAAATTATCATCATCATTATCTGCACAATCATGAGTAAGTGTTGTTCGTTGAGCTGATTGAGAATAATTATCTCCAGTTTAAAAATCTTTTGCAGAATTGTATTGAATTTGCAATAATTTAAGTGATGCATCTTTTTTTTTACCCGTATTATCCTATTTAAAATCTTTAAATCAAGGATCGAGTATTGTAGCAATTTGAACCAATTCCAATTGTGCTGACACAACTCATCAAGTAATAAGAAAATAGCTACCCAAACTTTTTTAAGAAGACCAGTAGTATCGGCAGCTGGTAAATATTCAATATTATTGAAATCACCTATATCCTTTTCAGAATTTTCTTTCCTGGCATTTTTTTTGTCTATAGGAGCTATTTGCTTTTTCTTTATCTTTTCTTCTTCCTTTTTCTTTAGTTAACCGCATTTTTTGTCTAAATTGGTGATGAGCATATTGCCAATGACACGTAAACCACCAGATAGAATTTCATCTCCTTCACTTGTTAAACTATCTGAGTCTTCTATTTCTTCATTATCACTTTCACTTTTTGGCCCATATATCAAATTGAGGTACGTATCATAAGTTTCTCCACTTTTATAGTTAGGTTCAAATGATTTTTTTAATAATTCTACATAAGGATGAATTAGACTTAAAGTACAGTATTTTGCTCCACATATTCGACATGTTATTTTTTTGAATAGTAATAAAAGTTTCATCACATCTTGAAAAAATCTTTAAAAAATAAAAAATAATAAATTAATTAAAAATAAAATAAATTAAAATTAGATAATTGACAATAAGATTAATATATAAATTATTTTATTTAGAGGCTTGTGCGATCTATAAAATATATAGAGATTGTACCCATCAAGAAAATCTTTATCTAGGTAATTTATTATAGCCATATAATAAAAATGTCTACCCGAGTACAATCTCTAAAAATATATTTTTATATAATCTAGCTTAAAAATTTTTAAATTTTGTTTAGTTCGCACAGGTCTCTACTTTAAACTTACTGTTTTTTTTCAAAAGATAAACATAGTTGCTCTAGTTTTTCTCTTTCTTGCTGTGACTTTTGATCAGATTTTGCCAACAATATAGTAAAAATAGATCGCATTGAATTATGTAAGTCTAAAATTCTTTTCTATGCATAATGCACAGAATTTCATCTGGTCTTAACATCAGTTAAGACTTCGAGTAGATTATGTTAGTTATTTTCTGATAAATATTCATGCTCTTTTTGAGCTTCACGAAGTCTCTGGGCCTGTTTTGGCAACAAAAAAAAGCCTGTAAACACTTTACTCGATGATGAATTTGTTTGTATTGTTTTAAACCTTGTAAGACTGAGAGTTGAAATGTGTGCACAACACAAGGCTGCCATCTAACTTGTGATAAAAATTCTTCATTTAACAGTTGAACACTTTTTATCATATTTGATCTATTATCAGTTACAATGGTTAATATTTGATTTGACAAATTCCAGCTATTTATAACCCAAATAGCTTAGCACTAATAACTTCACCAGAGTGTGGATATGGAAGATGATTGCAGGATAAGAGTGTTTCATGAAATTCAAAATCTGATATTAACCATGTAGCTGTTATACCAAGATAACTATGACGTGATTTGGCAGTCCACAAATCAGTTGTTAAATGAATAGCAACAATATTACTATTTAAAAGTAAATGAAGCTGTTCTTTACTCCATAAAAATGAATCATAAATTATGGCTTTAACTGTTTTATCACACGAAATTTTATAGCCAGGCTTACATATAAGAATAAGTTCATGAAAAGATGCGTTTTGTAAAATAAATAATGGCTGAACAAATTTAATAATAAAGGTAGTAAGTATTTGAGTAATAAGCTCTTGCCATTTGGATGTATAATGAGTTGCTGCTTTTGCATATTCAGTTATTTTGGCTTGATCACATTGAGGCTATAAAATATAAATTAAAAAATTACTTTTAATTTTTAAATATTTATAGTATGATTTCTTGTAAGTTATTTTTTCAAAAAGACATAATATAATGCTAACAAGTTTAGCTAGAATTTGTTATAATACTAGCTACTTAGTTGGTATTATGCTTTTTTGAAAAAATAGCTTTAGAAAATCATGCTATAATCTTGTTAAATATATATAATATAATATATATATATATACTTCGTTATGCTCATCCAAATATTCTATATAGTTTTCCTTCGTAATACTATGTTTATCACGCAAGTAATTAATAAGATTTGTAGTATTGCCACCTTTTCGATTATATGGGTAAGGCGCTTGTTATGTGCCAGATAAATTAATATCACAGACTTTACAATAAGTGATGGAAGAATCATTTTCGTCTACTTTAAAAAAATAAGTTGTATGACTGCAATTACTACGGAGTTTTGTTTTTGTTTTAGGAGATGACAAAGTGGTTTTTCATTTCTTTTGGGTTAAACTATTAGCACTTGAAGCTGAGAGTGTTGTTGATATAGTTTCAGTTTTAGAATAAGGTTTAGTATATAAATCCTCCATGTCATTATTTATATTATTTGAAAAAAGATAGAATTTTTTTTAGGTCGAAACTACTAGTTATACACAATTAAAGGTCTTTGACGTGATTGTTTTACTGTTTAAAAAAATAAGATCATAAACTTATTACTCAATGCTTATATATATGCACATTCATTTTTATGCATAGTGCTATTAACTGTTTAACAAACCAGATCCAGTATATTTAATTCAAAATAAACTTATCTTATCTTAACCAGTACTATACAAGTATCTGTCTTAGTGTGTAAGTATAGTTTCAATAATAAGCAGATTTATAATGATAAGCGTTAAACATGTTTTATTGAAAAGATACAAGAATTTATAATTTAAGGTATTTAAAATTGTTTTATCATTACAATTAAAAAAAAAAAAGTTTATTATATTATTGATGATAAGCATTAAGTATATTTTATTGAAAATAGTGATGGAAAATGCAAGAATTTATAATTAAAATGATTGTTTTAGCCATTACAATTAAAAAAAATAAGGTCAATCATATTACTCAATTGAAGCATATGAATTTTCTCTTATCAACCTTAGCTTATTATTATATATCAGGTAACTGAACACTATAATATGCGCATTCACCTTTGTGCATATCACATTAGATATTAACCATTAAACAACCCAGATCCAGTATCTTTGATCCCAAAATATTTTATCCAGTATGATCCAAGTATCTGTCTTGATATATAAATATAGTCCCTATAAAAAAAGTTTTTTCAGTTTTTGTTCAGCTTTTGTTGATATTGTTCAAAAAAGTTCAGAATAAAGTCATTATTATAGTAAAGGCTGGACAAAAACCATACATATTTTTATAATTAAAAAATCTAAAAATATGCAATTTTTGTTCTGTTTTTATACTATAATAACTCTATTCTGAACTTTTTTAAACAATATTGACAAAAACTGAACAAAAGCAGACAAATTTTTTTTATAGGGAGTTCCAGTAATAAGCGGGTTTATAATGATATGTTTTATCGAAAATAATTAGAATATGCAAGAATTTACTACTATAGCTTTAATGCTTTTAAAAAGATAAATAACACCAAGTCAAGGTTACAGTATAAAAAAAACTCATATACATAGCGGTTTCGAATAGATAAATAATCCCATGAAGTTTTTTTATATTTTTTATTCACCTTTAGTAAAGAAATCTATAATGTCTATTCTTTACAGCTTACTGGTATTATATCATATAAAAAGAAAACTATAAGGAAGATTGCGGTAATTATTTTATCAGCATAAAAAAAAATTTTTTTTTCAACTTTCCTTTAAAGTTTTTGTTTTTCAACTTTAAATAGTATATATATGTTTAAGGTAACTAATTACCCCTATATATATGTACATACATACGTACATATATTGCATGATTATTAGATATTAAACAAATATTCAAAATCTAAGTTTGGTAAATCTTAAAATAAGCCAGATTTTTAAAACAATTAGGTTTGTTATAAAAGGATGGTGTAGGGCTAAAACTTTATTATCAGGCATGTAAATTTAAAAAAATCTTATCATACAGAACCCCCTCTAAATAGTATCGGGTTACTAGTATTGAACAAGTTTTTTGGTATTTTCTTTACATACGTAATTGGTAAATGTATTAGGTATCAGTATTTTCTAATACATATGTATTATGACAAATTCTATACCGATATGTATTATGTTCATGATCTGAATCACTATGATGAACTTACATACTCTCCTCTCACACAATATCATATTTAATTTAGCTTTGCTTTTTTGTATAAGACTGGGATACCAATACTGTAAGCAGTGCTGTACAGTGTAGGGATATTAAGTGGTGTGTCTGGTTTGGTCCCATTCTGTTTCCCAAAAGTCTGGTCTAGGACTAGTTGAAAACGAGTTTACCTCCTGTTAAAAAATAGATAAAAACTGGTTCTACTCTAGTGGTTTAAATGTACAAAACAATAGTAAACGAGTATTGTGTTTTAATTATAATTATATAGATTGTATTGAATTTATTCCAGTATTATAATTGCATTTAGAGATCACAAGATTATAGGACTAGTTTTGAACTAGTCTCACTAGTCCTTAAAAGTTCCCTGTAGACCACTTAACATCTTTAGTACAGTGTTATATATTTAATATTAATATTATAATTTTACGTAGCAAGTATATGCGTGAGAGTGAAAACCTGTAACTGATTATTATGATTAGTTACAGGTTTTTTTTTTTTT